ACTTGACTTTAAAAAAAAAGTGTTTAGTTTGTTCAATTTGTTTCCCACTGCCTAATGTACAGACAAGTCCAGCTATTTTTCAGCTGCTCATTCAGAGAGACTGAGTCATGCTGGCATTATTTTTTTCAGGCAACACATTAACGTCAGTGTGATTAGTGTGAAGATGAATGTATAAAACTGAACTCTACATGAACCCCATGAATAAACTGAAACTGAACTCCATGACTGAACCCCATGAATACCCGCTGCAAAATTTACAAACAAATGTAAAATTCTAATGATGCCTGGAGGAAAATATGCAGGTGTATAACGTGAGAGAGCATTTGGGACGTGGGTGTGTTTGATTTCTGTGAGTCCATTTGGTTCATTACTGCAATTTTAGCTAAAATTATGCGAAGGAAGGCAATTTTTCTCTGTGTGAGGGTGAGAGATTGTGACCTATTGTCTTTGCTGTGTGATAGCAGCTTGCGCCGAGAGGTGTTTGTCCTTTAACGTTGAAGCAGTGTTACATATCTCTAATATGATATTTCTAGGTATAAAGGTGACCGCCAGTGAGATTTTGAAAGTAATAAAAAATATGTGTAGTTTTACGTATGCACTTTACAGATGTACAATACTGTTCTAAAGTTTAATTAGAAATATAACTCTTTTCTGAGATTATAATAAATGTCTTTACTGTCACATCAATTTATGGCATCCTGCTGAACTGAAGTATTAATTAATACTTTAATTGATCTCAAACTTTTGAACAGTAATATATGTTGAATCAGTCTTTTTTGAATATTTAACTTTTCCTGTGCTAAGATTTTGAAATCATTTTTGAATGTTTTATTTACTTGACAGGTTAGTTGGTAGTATTTTTGTGAACAATTCATCAGTGATTGTTATTCCAAAGGGGTAAAAATAAATATATAAAATAAAAATATATATTTTTTTATTTTTATTATTTTTATTATTATTGACACTGGTGGATGTTATTGAACATGTGTTTGAACGTATTAACAAATAAACAAAGTATGGCTGTCAGTTGATAAAAATTTTGACTTGCACATTAATTACACAATGTGGTGATTAATTAAAGGGTTAGTTCACCCCAAAATAAAAATTATGTCATTAATTACTCACCCTAATGTCGTTCACAAAGAAAACAAAAATAATGACTTTATTCAACAGTTCTTCTCCCAAGAGTTACCGTCTTCCGCCATTTTAGAGAGTATCACAACGCATACACACGCTTTCCCCGAAGTGTAAACAATGCTGATTACGCAGATTACGTTCATGCGTGCACTTTCCCCCCGAACATAAACAACGCTGATTATGTCGATTACGTACTTAGGGAACTCTCCAAAATGGCGGAAGACATAACTCGGGGGAGAAGAATTGTTGAATAAATTATGGTGTTTTTGTTTTCTTTCCGCACAAAAAGTATTCTTTCTCGTAGCTTCGCAAAATTTAAGTTGCACCACTTATGTCACATGGACTGTTTTACCGATGTCCTTACTATGTTTCTGGACCTGGGAACATTACAGTTGCATTGTTGTCTATGGAGGGTTTGAGAGCTCTCCGATTTCATCAAAAATATCTTAATTTGTCTTCCGAAGATGAACGAAGGTCTTACGAGTTTGGAACGACATAAGTAATTAATGACAGAATTTTCATTTTTGGGTGAACTATCCCTTTAATCTAATTAATCGCATATTAATCGCACATCAAATTTGGCTGAGAAATTACCCACAAAAGATCATTTTTAGCTATGATTGTGTTACATGAGAAAAGCATGAAATAGATATTACAAAAAGTAGCGTTATAAAGAATTGTTTTCTTTTTTCATTTTAAATTTTTAAGTGAACTACCCCTTTAATTATTTTTTTTTATTAATATGGATTTTTTTATTTTTATGTTCAGATTTTGTTAATTATTATATAAATATGAAATTATTGAAACTAATGAAATGAATGAAACTCTAAACAAGAAACTGCCAGTAGTTGGTGGTAAATGTCTTAAGTCACTGAGTAATTCATTCATTCGATTCGTTCAAACGTCTGATCTACGGAATGAAGTAAACAGCTTTCTTTATGAAAGGGCCAATGAGTCATTGGTTTACTGGATTCTTTCAAAATGCGGATTTATTCAGAAATTGTGTGTTGCTTGGAGACACAACAGTTCTGCTGTGGCTTTAACAGGTAATATTTTTGTTGGCAAAATTGACCCTTGGCAAAGACCCGCCCCCCTTCATTACTGTTGCTACGTCCAACACACATCATGTTCTCACGCAGTAAAAAGATGCATTGCAGAGCAAAGAGGACACTGACAATGTGCCGACAGACAAGTCTCTGCTTTTACATTTTGTCATTTTTAAGAAATTCAAACAATAAATACCATTTGGTGCTCTTTAATGTGTCATGACAAATCGCTGTAGTGCCTCATTTTAAGCAGCAAGTGAACCAATCATCTCTTCCTCTTTACTAGTTATAGCATGAAATAAACATGAATGAACATCAGAAGGTATCTTGTTTCAACCGCAGTAAGACGGCAATACACCATTTTTCAAGTTCAAGTCCACCGACCTTAATCTACTCAACTGTCTGGTTTGTTTGTCGGACAAAATGGCAGATTCGAAGTTATGATTGGTCAGATCAATCAAACTCCCGGTGAAGGGTCAATTGGGCAAAAACAGACAATATTGTGTCTAAAATGTTAAATAATCTTATTTTAATAAATGATCTTATGTATTGAACTGTTGTATAAAGTCAATATCACATTTTCACTCATTTTATTTGAGACAAAACAACACTCGTGTGGTATTGTACTCGTTGCTCGTGTGATATTGATTAACTATATTACATGATATAAATATGAGACAATAACTCATACGGGGCATTTCCCCCAATCTCTTGAATTTTATAGGTATACAACTGCATTCTACAGGCTCCAATCGACTATAGATCAGGGCTGGACAACTTCGGTCCTGGAGGGCCACTGTCCTGCAGAGTGTAGCTCCAACCCCAATCAAACACACTTACCTGTAGCTTTCTAGTGATCTTGAAGACATTGATTAGCTTGTTGAGGTGTTTTTGATTAAGGTTGGAGCTAAACTCTGCAGCACAGTGGCCCTACAGGAATGAAGTTGCCCAACCGTGGTATACTGTAGATAGTCACTCAATTTAAAATCTTCCCAGTCTACTGAAAATTGCTATGACATCCGTATCGAACATTACAATGCACATGATAACTTGCATATAATAACTAAATCCACTTCACCAGCTAATTACTCTTCAACAGTGATGCTGAGCTACCGCAAAAAAGGACGTTCAAAGACAGAATTCTAAAGATGGCTTGTTTCACTTGTTTCTCTGATGCATAAGATCTATAGGTGAATTTGTCTTGAAGCAGCGCTGCGCAGACCAACCAGTGTACATCAAAGTACTGCGAGAGCTCTAGAGAGCAGATAGCTCTGCATGCTTTCAAATCGCTCTCACAGTACTTTGATGTCAAACACCGATCGATCTGATGTAAAATCCGATCGATCTCAAACACACCATATGGAATGTAAGATGATGTACATGGGGCAGGGTGTTAAATGCATTAAAATTTTTGATGCATTATTTTTTCAGTAAATATTTAATTAAATTAACATGCTAAATTGACAGCCCTAAGTACAAAGCCAACAAGGTGCAAATACATAAATGAGAAAGCATTGGGGCAAAACATCTAGCATATCAATTCTAAGGATTTTTATTTTCTGTTTAGTAGTGCACTGAAAAATAGAGTTATTAAGTTTGTTTTTGTTTTTCAATAGTGTGCCGCTTTGATTTATTATTTGTTCCTCATCAGTCAGCCGGTATGAAAGGTATAATCAAGGTAATTACTGATTACGGATTTCTTTCTCTATTCATTGTCTCTCATGTCATGTGAAGACAATGGGAATCGTAGTTTCTGCCCACACTATGGGATACGCTAGATTTAAGACTACTTTATCTACTAACAACTATGACTTGAAACACAGATGGCTTGAATTGAATGGACTCCTCCATAATAATTATCCTAAAACTTCTTAAGACTCATAAAAAGACAGAAACTACTACAGTATTATTATAGTAGAGTGATTGTATCTGATGGAAATACTACATGAATTTGAGATATATCATGGTACTGAATATTTACTATGGTATTACCATGCTGTATGTCCAAAAAAAATTCTATATGGCATTAAAGAGATTCCTTCCTTCCTTCCTTCCTCCCTCCCTCCTTCCCTCCCATTCCATTCCCATTGACTTCCATTTTGTTTGTTTGTCCATACAATGGAAGTCAATGGGAACCGAAGCTCTTTGGTTACCAAGATTTTTCAAAATACCTTCTTTTATTTTCCAGAGATGGAAGAAAGTCATACACGACATGAGAGTGAGTAAATGATGACAGAATTGTCAGTTTTTGGGTTGACTATCTCTTTAATGCTAAATATTTAGCAGTCATTTTATTATTGACCAATCAGAATCCAGTATCCAAGAGAGCGGTATAATAATCTCTAGCAGAGTGTCACCGTGTGGACTTCCAGTGATCCTGATGGGTAGGTGACAGCTGTCAGTGTGTGCTTGGTCAGCTCTTCAGATGGATTTCTGTGACTATAGTTCCAGTATGTGTGTGTCCGATCACTACAGCTATATCACATTCACTTCTTCTGCATAAAATAGACCTGTCCTCTGTGCCTGCTAATGATACGCAGTATGAAATAGTGATTGGATGTCAGCATGATTGATGTGGGTGTGGAGAGGGAAGGTCCAGCACTCTCTTGGGTCATTATCTCTTCAAATTATATCAAGGCTGTCTCGTTAGTCGTCCGTTTGGTGCTGCTCAGTTGCCGTGATGGCCGAGGGCATCAAGTCTTTGTGAGAATAAATTCTGTATACTTTTGGCTACATTTCATATAAAGGACAAATTAAATACCATGGATTTTTGCGAATCATGTCTAACAGAAAATATTTTTATCTATATCTCCGTAGTCCATCCGTGAAGTGACGGGTTACGTGTTGGTGGCTCTGAATCAGTTTGACTATCTTCCTCTGGAGAACCTGCGGATCATCCGTGGCACTAAACTGTACGAAGGACGCTATGCTCTGGCCATCTTTCTCAACTACAGACGAGATGGCTACTTCGGTCTTAGACAACTCGGCCTCAAGAACCTGACAGGTATTTTTGTCTGTCTGTGTGTCTCTGTCTCTCCTCAAGCAAATTCCCATCACACTTGGTTTTGTGCAGTAAAAGTATTTTAGAAATACACAGGAAAGAGCCTTTGGGCCCACAGTAGATATCTGAAAGGATGGATCAGGAAGCAGCCCTTTTTAATAAAATATTTTGATCAGCTGAGTATATGATGCCAAATGGTAAAGTGCATTAGTCATTTTAAAGATTTGTCATGACACATTAAAGAGCCACAGAATGGTATTTATTGTTTGAATTTCTTTGCAAAAGGTCAATTCAGTAAATTTTTTTTATCTCATATTATATTTCAATATAGATTTTTAAGTTTTAGCACTTTTATTTTGTACAATAACCTAAAACTAAGCTAAAATATTGAATATAATAATAATAATAATTTAGTAATAATTACTGTAATTCAGATTCAAAGGCATCACAAATTCCAACTGCAAAATAATAATATTTTACACACACATTATAATATGTATAAAGTAAAAATATAAAGTTTATATATAAAATATAAAATAAAAGTCTACTAGATAGTCTACTACTATTATATAATAAATTATATAATAAAGAATTCAATAAACAATATATTAATAAATATTTGTGCAGTATTTTTTGGCTGATGGTCTGTCCTCCTCACTGACTAATGCTAATTTAGGTACATGAGTTGTAATTATCTTTGGAATTAAATCTACATTAATTTCCAAATCAGGTTGTTTATAATATTTTATAGTGGAACTTCAAGGTGTTTTGAGAGTCATAATCGTATTACACAGAAGAGGCTACATAACCCTTTCACCCCTTCAGAAAGCACGTGCTTGATTTGATGTTAAACTCCCTAATAGGTGCTGTGTGTGAGGATGATGCTGTAGGCAAAGGGATTTTTTTAACTTTCTCCCCTCACACTCACACACACACACACACACACACCACAGAGTACTTCTAAGTATGTTTCCCATGCCCAAGGCCCTTTTATTGACCCAAATGGGTTAAGGATGAGAGAGCAATAGAGACAGACAACCACAAGTATGGCCACCAGAAACAACTGCTGCCCAGCCATAATGATTTTTTTAGACTCTATTCATTTGAGGTTTACTTACTTTGTTGAAGTTGGATTTAATATTGGGCTGAGAGTCAGTTTTTAATGATCTGCCAACAATGACATCTGTAATTCCCTATATACTGCTTATGATTACATGATTAGTTATAACTTTCCCTTCTAATGTAAATGTGCTTAGAATAATTTCATTATTTCAATCCTACAGTGTTCCGGGTAAAGAGATGAAAGCATGCATCTTCCTTTCTGAGACACAGACCCTGATGCTTAATGGATCCTTTGATTTAAAATGCAGTTGTTGTCTTGTTTGTCTCTTTCATGACTGTCCTTTACTGATGTAGCTTTCATATATGTGGACACTTGAGCAGAAATATAACTGTATAACTTTCTTTATCTACATAAATCATTCATTGCAGATCATTTAATTGTTAAAATTTATTTTACAATTATCTAGATGTAAATTATCTGGATTATTATTTTTTAAGTTATTTAATTAATATTTTCTTATTTTATTTTACTTATTTATGCATATATATATATATACAGTATATATATATATATATAATACATTGCAATGTATTATTTCATGTCATTTCAAACCTTTCTTTGTTGGAACATTTCAAACCTTTCTTTGTTGGAACATAATGAACAATGGGTCCAGTGTTGCTTTGACCACAACGTTCTTCAAAATATCATCATACATAAGTTTTATTTTGGGGTACACTGTCCCTTTAACACATGGTTGTTTACCAAATAAATAAATGGACATTAAATATTTATTTTGAATTGAAATTGTTGTATTATGTCAGAAGAAAGAGATCTGTGAGAAACAGATGTTTCCGGATGAGTGGCCAGCTTTACAGTGTTTTCAAGGTTAGCAGTCTCTATTCAGAAATATTTGACAGTGGGATAAAGTCAAGTATTAAGAATTCCAGAGGTCTGTGTAATAATTTATGACATTTACCCTAGAAAACAATAATAAAGAGGTAATATTTTATTCCTCCATGCCAGTATTTGCAGACTATCTGATGAATAGAGAGCTCTGACCACACACTACTCTCACGCCAGTAGGTCTCAGTATGTACCATGAAAAGCAATTAGGCCAGAACTGTTAATGCATACAGATTAGAGTCCATATCAGATCAAGTGACTCAGCCTGAATAACAGTGATAAAATCCCCATATCTGAGCAAAACAGCAGAACTTAGACAGTAATTACCTTTCTCCTGTAAATTAAAGAAAATCACAAGCTGGATTCAGAAAAGATGTATTCTGAGGTTAGTATCCATAACTGATTATCGTGAAATGATAGACATAGAAACACTGGTAACTGGTTTGACGCAGGATACGTGAAAGACCGGGTGAACACGGCGCCACTGATGGGACAAGTTGAGTCTGATCGCCACCGGACTGAGAACCTTAACAATGGAAAAGGGTCCAATAAAGCGGGGCCGCAGCTTACGAGAACCTTCTTGAATAGGCAAATTGCGGGTGGAAAGCCACACCTTCTGACCACAAACATATCTAGGAGCCCTAACCCGGTGACGATTGGCGGCTCGACGTGTACGTGCGCCGGTACGACATAAAGCTGATCTCACCCTCCTCCAGGTACGTTTACATCTCTGAATAAATGCCTCTACAGAGGGAACAGAGGACTGGGCCTCTTGGGATGAAAATAGAGGGGGTTGATAACCCAGACAACACTCGAACGGGGATAACCCAGTGGCGGACGAGGGCAGAGAATTATAAGCGTACTCGGCCCAGGACAGTTGGTCGCAATACGACGCAGGGGTCCGCGAGGTCAAGCTACGCAACATGCGACCAAGAATCTGATTGGTCCTTTCGGCTTGACCATTGGTCTGTGGATGGAATCCTGACGACAGACTGGGGGATGCCCTTATCTGACGACAGAATTCCCTCCAGAACTGAGAGACGAACTGAGGCCCTCTGTCAGACACAATGTCCGAAGGAAGACCTTGGATCTTGAAAACGTGATCTACCATAACTTGAGCGGTCTCACGGGCGGACGGTAATCCAGGAAGAGGGATAAAATGAGTGGCCTTCGAAAAATGGTCCACCACGGTAAGGATGACCATATTACCGGCCGATAATGGAAGACCGGTCACAAAATCCAATGCAATGTAAGACCACGGACGTGATGGAATGGGGAGGGGCCTAAGAAGACCTGCCGGTGGAGTGTTACTAGACTTAGTCTGGGCACAGACATGACAAGAAGCAACAAAGCGCCGAACATCGCGTTCTCTAGTGGGCCACCAAAACGGTTAACGAATCGCGGCCAACGTACCCCTAACCCCCGTGTGTGCCACCAATTTGGACGAGTGACCCCAGCGAAGAACTGCCAAACGAACGGCCTCAGGAACGAATAACGTTCCCTCAGGAGTGCGAGGTGGCCGCGTGACATGAAAAAGGGCTCTCCTCACCGCCTGTTCCACTCCCCAGACGGCCGCCCCAACCACACAAGGCTGAGGTAAAATGCTCTCGTTGGCCGAGGGACCCCCTGATGAGCCGAACTGACATGAGAGAGCATCCGGCTTGAGATTCTTAGAACCAGGTCTAAACGAGATCGAAAACTCAAAGCAACCGAAGAAGAGCGCCCACCGTGCCTGACGGGCATTAAGTCTCTTAGCGGTCATTAAGTCTCTTCTTAACAAAGAAGAACCCTGCACCGGCAGGCGAGGATGACGGAACGATAATTCCCCGCGGCGAGAGACTCTGTGAGGTATTTCTCCAGAGCCTCTTGCTCGGGCGCCGAATTACCCTCTGCCCCCGAATCAGTGCTGGGCCCGCAACGGAAAAACCAGCCCATCGAAGAACAGCAGAGACCGTCATATGAGACCTGGGCGAAGAGGGGATGACAGTTGTGCTCGCCAGTACTCCTCTTTCTACTGGTGTGCTCTTGCTTTATAACACGCACAAAGCAGCGAAATGCCCGGCCGCGCCGCAGTAAAGGCAGAGAAATGCGAACCCCCCAGCTGCATTGGCTCAGGATAAGATCTGAGAGGAGAATATTCCACAGCTGGTGTAAGAGTCTCTGGTGGTCTTGAACTAGAAGCTCGAACCTGCCTCCGCTGCTCGAAGCACCTGTCCAAACAAATGCCCAGTTCAATAAGATCATCCAGCTGTGTCGGTGGTCCACGCGCATAAATCTCCTCCTTAAGATCCATATTCAGTCCCTCCAGAAAGCAAGTGACCAAAAATCAGGTTCATTCCACTCGCATGTGGTCGCCAGCGTCCGGAACTCAATGGCGAAATCAGCGACAGACCTTCTGCCCTGATGAAGCACAGCGAGAAGGCGCGCAGCTTCGCGACCGAAAACGGATCGGTCGAATATCTTGATCATCTCCTCCTTGAAGAGCTCGAAACGACCACAGCAAGGAGTCTGTGCCTCCCAAGCGGAGGTTCCCCATTCGTGAGCTCGCCCCGTGAACAGCGAAAGTACAAAGGAGATCCGGGCGGAATCTCTCGCACAAGTCTGAGGCTGGAGAGAAAAGATAACCTCACATTGAGTCAGAAAAGCTCTGCATTCAGTGGGCTCACCGGCATAGCAGGGGGGGTTGTTAACATGCGGCTCAGAAGGTGGATGTCGCCATAATACGTTGTGGGTTCTCGGTAGAGCTGTATAAGACGAGACGATAAATCCGTCACTTGTGCATCTGGTAGTATCGACATGAAGGGCCAAACAATACCGTATGCATGACACACAATAATCCGACAGAGAACAGTGAACCCAACCACTAGAAATAGAGTGACTAATAGATCAGAGTGGAAACAGGTGTACTCGCAAAGCAGCCCGCACGCTGATTGTGATGACAAACAGGTGGAGATGAGAGCAAGAATGAGCATGGGCGTGCCTGAGTGTGTGTGTGTGTGTGCATGATAGAATATGTATGTGTGTGTATATGTGTGTG